CACTGAACCGCGATACTTTATTTTCTGGACAGCTCCATGACAGACGTCGTGGTTGAGGTATTTGGGCTGGAATATTCAGTTTTGTGGGCATCGGGATATTATGGATGCGCCAAGGGATTCCGCAGGGGGAGCAAAACCAATGTAATATCACAGGAAGTATTTGCTTTTCGTCCGCCTGAGTATCCATTCAGGTGTAATGCATAGATCGAATGGAGCAGACAGCTGCCAAATAGGATGCCCATAGCATGTATTACCGTAGGTCGAAGCTTGGGAAGAAGATGAAATGGGATGAGACCAATAAGGCCTGGAGAGTTATAGGAATCATTAGAGAGGATATAGTCTTTGATAGGGAAAAAACCGAACCGAGATACCTTATTTTCTAGACAGCTCCATGACAGACGTCGTGGTTGAGGTATTTGGGCTGGAATATTCAGTTTTGTGGGCATCGGGATATTATGGATGCGCCAAGGGAGTCCGCAGGGGGAGCAAAACCAATGTAATATCACAGGAAGTATTTGCTTTTCGTCCGCCTGAGTATCCATTCAGGTGTAATGCATAGATCGAATGGAGCAGACAGCTGCCAAATAGGATGCCCATAGCATGTATTACCGTAGGTCGAAGCTTGGGAAGAAGATGAAATGGGATGAGACCAATAAGGCCTGGAGAGTTATAGGAATCATTAGAGAGGATATAGTCTTTGATAGGGAAAAAACCGAAAGTTTGCCACAGTTAGGGTGGTGACACCAAGTGAATGAATGAGACGGGATAAGGACGAAATCGTACACCCTAGTCTAGTCATTAAAGTCAAGCTAAGATAGCCAATATATGCTATTACACTAACTGAGAGAGAGGACAGTTCGATGTAAGTAAGCAGAGAGGCGACGTGGTAATGGAAATCAAAGACGTAATGAAAGGTAGGGATGAAACTTCTGAGACGGTGGACTAAGTGTCCTAGAGTTTGCTAGTGAGTCGCACAATACTAGGAGTGTAAGGGGGACAGTCATCATTCTTCGAAGCATTGGATAGGGCAATTTTATGCATGGCCTGATGTCACACTGCAAAAATTTCATCCGTAACTTTGGCAATGTCCTCGGTTCTCCTCTACCCCTCACCCGCTAACACAATCAAACTGCAGTCACTGACGTGCGTTCTTTCTTATCCCAATTCTTAGTTGGTGTGTTCCAAACCATGCAGAGTGACCAAGAAGACGGTCGAGGGAAAGGTTACCCCCGTCGCAGCAAATAACCGAAATGAGAAAAATTTTCGCCTATTTATAGTGTGTACTCTGAGCTTGAAGTTCTCACCCTACCCCTCCGTGTGTTGGCTTGGTCAACGTTGAAAAACCTGCTGGCCGAACCTTGTTCAAACGCATACAGCTTTTCAATCACAATACACATAATGGTCCAAGGTCTGTGAGCAAGTATCGAAAGTATACCGTCGTTCACCTGACAACTTGCTGGTTGAACAACCTTGGGGTTGTTATAATACTCTGAAGTAGGTCATCTCTAGGTCTACAATGAACTTATTGGTTTGAGTGCGCGCCTGTTCAAAAATGGTAGCGTGATCTCTGCATTGGGTTTATTCCAAACGGGCATCGGGGAGTCGCAAAGGGCTGCTCGGATTATGTAATGGTTCTAATTCAAGCTGAAAAAAATGACAGCGAGGTTTCCTCAGTACCAAATGCGACTCAGATCATAAAGGGTAAGCCTATAATCACGTGTACATTTTTATGCTATTATGTTGAGTCCACTGAGGGTTTGATGCCGAACTAGAGCTACGGTGTTACGTTGTCATAGATTGTTCACATAGTGTGATGTTTGGGAAAGTATGACATTCTGAAGTTCACATACTACTGACTGTCGGTGTCTCACTTTGGCTCTTCGCGTTGGACCTCACACGATACATCATCCATGTGGTTCACGTATTCAGGCTCGGGTTCAAGTCGGATAGAGCAGATGATTAGTGTTGGTCATCTGCGTGAGGAACTTGTATGGTGTTTAATGACAGCATCCATCCAGCAGGATAGCCTGGAAGGTGGATACGTCACCGAAGTTGTTCGTTTAATGTCGCAGCATATATATTTATCGAAAGCCAGCTGAAATAAAAATAGCTCAGCCGCAGCACCCTTTTGGTGCCTGGCTGCCATGCCACCTGAAGGAAGTTCGAGGACTGGGATACTGCCAGGTTGCTCAAGCATATACAGCTGGCTAGCTACTTAAGTAATACCAGATGGTCCACTTCCATTGCTGATTCCGGCGGTCGGTTTCAAGTCTTCAACATCCATTGATTTTAGGGCCCTAAAAATTAACTGAAGATCTTTTGTTTGGGTCCATGCAATTACGATTCGCGGTTACTCGTCATCCAAATAGATACTTCAGTTATGGATACTGTCCTATTCAGAGTAATGCATGCAGAAGAATCACATGCCGGTACGATGCATGACATTTTCGCTCGTGACAAAACAGACATACAATGATGAACAAGCTTTAACTTGGCAGGTGGGTTAGAAAGTAACGGCAAGGTCGACCTCACTGACGAGCTACGTCGTATGGTGTCTCCAACCATGCACATGGAGAATCAATTAGACGCTACACAGAACGCTGGGATGTTGATTCGAAGCAGGTTTGCGAGGTACCGTTTTTCTGCGCCTTTTGCTTCGCTGGTGAAAACCCGGATCTGCGTATCTTTCTACTTTAAATCGCGATTGACCCAGAGGCGTTGGTATGAGCGCGACTCGACAACCACCGCTGTGGACCTAACCTACTGTAAAATGATAGTTTCACATAATGGTCGTCCTTGGGTGTCACGTGATTTCGCAAGCTGCACTGATTGGGTGGTCGTTTTACAAGGTGGGACCGCTACGGTCATATTACATTGCTATCCGGGGATATGGTCGTACTATAGAGGAAAGTGTTGGTAGCTCAGGTAGCTGATATTAACCCAATTACCACTGATAAATTCACGAGATTCTCCTTGCATAGCAACTGTCAACGCCCGTATTGTATGGCAAATTGGCAAACAGACAATGCTTACTTAGACTCTTTACTCTTAATGTTTACTTTGGCTGTGTATCTGAAGCACGCACAAAGATTTGCGTCTAGTCATACCACAAACAAAAAACAAAATACTCATCGAGCTGTAGTACCTTTCGGTGCGTAGCAGACATGCCACTAAAAGGAAGTACGGGGGTTGATATACTTCCAAGTTGCCCAAGCACAGACAAGAGCGGTCGAGATGCTGAGGTTTGTTTCTAACCGTTGGACCTTCCGGTCACCAAGTTTGGGCCTTGACCGTCGAGCCATCTCAAACCAAAAACGAAATTGGCTTATTCAAATATGACTTTTCGAGTATGGCCTGTGAGCGATGGGTCGTGAAACGTGTGGTACGGGAATTTCGCTCCACCACAGGGCCGAACATGCTTTGTTAGAATGTGCTTCAGAAAGCAGTTTGCCTTGAACTGTTCGGTTATGTATCTCCATCAGGTGTCATTTGGGATACAGACGAGTGACTGTTTGTAATGTCGGGTAATACTCTGATAGACTGCCATTCTTACACGACACTTTTCATTGAAACCTCTGGATTAATTCCCCAGATAAGGCATATATGCCTCTTTGGTTGATATGAAGGCCAAATTCAGTCATCCAGCCTTGTTAAGGCGCATTTGCGTGGGGGATTCGGCATCGGTTCTCATTGCACGGACCACGAAAACTGACCGTAAACTGTTTCTGGCCACCACGGATTAAAAAAACAACCGCTTGCACCGTGCACGTCACTCGTGTACCAAGTTGGATCATGTTAAAGTCAGTCACCAATATAATGCTATGATTTAAGATTTACTCTTCAGGGACAACTCGATTCTAGTTACGCTGCAGTGTGAGCACGTCTGACAAATGGCATTTCCCCAGGCCCCCGCAAGTGAGCTAGAAATATGTCAACCATTATCCTCTAGAAACTCTCATCCTCTGAGATGAATGACATACATACGTAGCATGACAAAGGTCGAACGAAGCTAAGTTTGCGGCATCCAGAACAGTTTGTAGGACTTTTACGGTACTACAAAACGACCGCTAAATTGCATGTTGCATACCGCTTCTCATCTTAGGTAGCACAGTAGGGTCACAATGCTGTGGTTGGTGTGATGGTGGTTTCCGATCAGTCAATACGCATGCACATTATCTGATCATCCTCATAGTCATTGTTCGTAAAATGAGACGCTGCAAAATCGTGATGGACTTCTATGATAGCATTGTTGTGTTTGATCAAGCTTTCAGTATATTTTAATTTTGGATAGCAAAACCATAGATTGGACTTAACTGTAGGTGGAATTGTTAACATATGGAGACGGAAGAAAAGCTTTGTATGAACAATTTTCTGATCTTCCCACAAACTTGGTCGCGATCGATGAGGCTGTTGTGCGCAGACAAGGATTTGTTGTTCGTTCCTGTTAAGAAACTCTATCTACCTTACACGTGGTGTGTGGATTCCCAAGTTCATTATTAGGCCATCTGAAAAACGAGGTTTGATTGCTACGTCTCTCTCTACCTATCTAAAAGGCCTAAGTAATGATACTTAAGGGTCCTTATAACGATTGTGATCCTGCATGTTCTTCATATCATTGCCAGTTTGTCCGCATAAATCTCACGGAGATCACGTTGAAAACTGTTTCTCTCGGGTTTTGGAGTACAGCCAGAGGGAAATGGACCATTCTAATTGGATTTTCTGTTCCATATAAGAGTACGTTTTAAGGAGATCACGAAACGCTTGGGTGCTGTGGATGGTCACACTATCTAACGGGTGTCATTTGTGATACCCTAGCATTAGCACATTTTCTCATCCCAACAAATCTGATGTCCATCTCTTACTTGATATGCCGTCATCTTAGTGTGCCCAGCGAGCAGCCCACCCGCGATATGTCGTCGGGTTTTTGTAAACTCCTCGAAATATGGGCATATATCGCTTCTATTAGACCCCATTAGCCGATGTGGAGAGGGCGGGAGGGCTCAGATGGCGAGATAGCTCAGTGGTAACAGCGCCAACCGGAAGGTCCGTGATTCGAAACCGACCTCTGCCTCTCGACTACTCCTGGCTAGGTTTGGACAACCTGGCAGGATCCCAGCCCTCGTCCTTCCTTCTGGTGGCATGACAGCTAGGCGCTGAAACTTCTACAGCTGAGCGATTTATTCTTTATTTATTATCCAATCATTGTGTTACACTGGGTGCGATTTTTTAATGAAGCGCTGAACTCTTCGACATGGTGGCTTCTTGTACGCTAAACATTGAGTGGTGGGCAACCCTGTTATGTGCTTTCTGAAGAGTCTGTCTGAGTAGGTATTACTCTATGACATTTTTACCAATATTTCGGCAGGATGGACGTGGATCGAGACTGTTCGTGTAACAGTCGGACTTTGATGAATAAGCTGGAATCAGGCGCTAGAAAATCAACCATTCCTGTTCCATTTTAGTGGTTTTTAGTGCCCGCCCGTCACCGTCGAGACATAATAATGAAGCTGCTAAACGTAGCTCACAAATCGTGTAGCCGATCGCGAGGAAACTTGGATCCCATATGTAAATTTACATTTTGCATAAATTTATGAAAGCAAGCACTCAGCTTCAGGAGATGAGAGTAGTAATGGAGTTTTAACTATGCCTCGGGTAACTGTCTGAATGCACTGTATATAACATAAGAAGGCACAAAAATGTCGATGCGGTGTCAAGTAAAACTTACTAGAAAAAACTACCAAATCAACGAATCTTGTACATCCCAGGATTGTATATGTCTAGCGTCTGATCGCTGAACATTCAAAAGAGATCGCGGTACCAGTTGTCCTTAAGCTTTGAATGTTTTTATTTAGTGACCGGGTGAAAATATATTTTTTGGCTTTTTGAGCAAGGATCTGAATTGAACTGGAGTAAGTCTGCTGCTGGATTGGGTTCTGAGTTTGAAATGCTCCGATCCATAGTTCTGCAATTTCCGATTTAGCCTGATCAATTCAGTTACTAGAAGTCCCAACACCGGGACCCGAATTTTTTTCAGAATATCTGCTCTTAACCTTCACCATACTAAACACGTATCTGCTTCGTCTGCTTCAAGACTTCGCATGCCGAGAGATTTCCCAAAAATACTACCAAAGTGGCAAAACTAAGCGAGATAAGTCATGAAATTGAGCTGCTTGACCTCGATCACACAGAGTGAGCAAAGAATTTATCCCCAGTTTCCTTTGCTAAATCGATGCTGCTCATACGGAATGATCTTAATCAAACCGGGTTGTAGCTAGTCTGTCTAAAATGACAACACGCGGCCTCCACTCATCATATCAATTCAGCTCAATCTGAAACGTGTGGATTGCGAGACTCAGAATACCCAGCCTGGAGATCGTCATAGACCCATGCGTTTTATGAGTTCAGTGAAAAAGTTGATGATAATAAGATTGTGAGTTTCAGCAGTTCCGTGCGTACAAATGATGAACCAAGCCATAGAACGCATCCAAACTATCTCCATCTGTGATCGAACGATGTTAATCCGCATCGGTGACGGGGCATTGAAACTTTCGGCCTTACTTATACTTAAGCCTTATATCTGATTCGTGCTGTGCTTCGTCTTTCGACCAACGTAACAGGGAACAGCTTAGTCGTAACAGTTTTTCAGCTCAATATTCGGATGCTTACGGGTGCCTTCAAACATCACACATGCAGTGGTCAGATATAGACGTGTTCCAGGTTGTCAAATTGTAACAAACAAGCACCGTTTACTAGACATTATATGAAACATAGCTAAATCTGCGGAGCTACCTCGAAGAGGTTAGTTTCTGCATTGTTTGCAGCATATTGCCCAACCAACTGCTTGAGATGCCGCATGTTGGACAAAAGTTCCTCTCAAAGCAGAAATGGAGTTTCAAGAGAATTATGACCAGTTTCAGAAAACTTCCTCCAGATAGCGCTTTCATTGGCTAGCAAAACTCATTTGGCCGTGGTGGGATCGTCCCTTTGGTTCATTGGAAATCAGTTGCACACGTCGGCGTCGATTTCACGAAAAAAATAAGAGTGGTCAACCTCACGGAAACATCATATTTTTTGGTTTAACTTGAGTGAAAAGAAATGCAGTCGAACCACATATCATATGGGCCCGGCCTGAGACAGCCTTCTGCATATTCGTCGGAAAATATTGTAATCAAGAGATTCAGTCAATGTCCGTCTCAGTATCTTGGCAACACCAATTAAATATGCAAGTTAGCTTTTAAATGGGAGTGCTATCACGTTTCAGTGAACCACTCGCTTGCACAGTAATCACTTTTCGTTCGAAAAGAACTTTGGTGGCTTTAACCATGTCTTGGTCAGTTTTTGTACACATGATTTAGAAGCACAGTCTTTTCCAATGTGCTATAGTCCTCCACAAAATTGCATTGCTTCCGCGGGACTCACCATCGTGATAGTTTTACGGCCACTGAGTCATTCGCGATATTTTCTTATCCAATTAGTTTCGTACATTTGTACAGCTAAGATCATCTGATTGGTACATCAAATTGTATATTTGACTCATTCATAATAAAATTCACAGTGGCGCCATCTTAATTGCAGCGTGTCGCTTGCAGGTAGTGGTCTGTATCAAGATGTTAAATCTCATATGAACGTAGCACGGTTGTGATATGCATCAGGTCGACTTCGTGGGCAGCGGTTCCAGTTCAATTAAAGTTATCATAACCTTGAGCTTTCCTAGACTTTTACCATGCAAGTGATACTATTACTAAATGTATCAGACAACTGTGGTCAAGAACTCGTGGGCCCAGGTTTTCTCGGATCTGGATGACAGACCACAGATCACATCGGCACAAAGGTATGGTCGACTGAGTGTTGAATGCGACAGTTTTCGTTCGTCTGTTTAGGAGGCAACCAAGAAGGAACTCGAGCAGTGCCGCTTACTGCTCAAACTATCAGCCATAGACTATCCGTGGAATTCTTTCGAAGCTTAAGCGACTTTTTGGCAATAACCTGATATCTGTTCGTATCCCTGGAGTAGTTCAGATTCGAGCACCAGCGTATGGTGGTTATGTTGAACCGTGCATTTTTCACTTGAAGGTTGAATACTTTTGAGGAAAAGTAATTTTGTCGGGTGTCAAATGCCTTGTTTCATGAGGGGGACCCTTGTAGTTTGGTACTTACAGGCCATGTGCACCAATGTACACTTCAAACGAAATTTCTCAGGAAATTAGCGTTTCGTCGATGAGTGCAGGTCGAGTGCAGGTGTAGCCACAGGTAAATATGCTCTGCGGTTCCTCATTCTAAGGGCTGACGATGTTTACCATCTACCATGGTGATGATGATGTTGTGCATACACCCAACACAGAATTAGTAACTCTTCGGTACGAAAACGGCACGACCAATAGATTAGCTATCGCCTTCGCGTCAAGACAATTACTGTTTCTGTACTGGGCCTTTCTTGGTTCGAAGCCTACTACTTTGTTGAATGATGACTGGTGGCACGGCATGATTGTGCAGGTTACTTTTAGTTCAGTTAGTTCTTGCGTGTCTTTCCGTCACACAAGTGAGATAACGGGCCTGGCTACAGTGGCAAACGGAGAATCCAGCTGTATGTTGTCAGTATTCTTTTCCACATCACTCCACATGGTGTGAAGACAATTTTTTCTTACGGTACAACCCGTTTTGGGGTAAGCAATGGTGTTTCATTCTAATGATCTTTACTCGTACATCGTGTTCGGTTCACTACTGATTCTAACGAGATTTGACTACATACGCATACTACGTATTTTAGCTCGTTTCTGCTTTTCAGATCGCTTGTATTTCGGAGTATTTACTGCTCATCCCAGACAAGCACCGTCGATACACTATTTTTCGATTGACGAGGAACTCACCTACGAAAGGTAGACTTCAGTTTGTACTCATTCAATTGCAGTTTCTACGCCGATTTCGGCCCACTTAACTTGGCCCAACTGTACAAATACTGTAACAAAGTTGAAAACAAATTAACAGTGAGCGACACAATCTGGCGTATGTTGAACGTTTCCCACCTTATAGTGCCGTCAGTTGAATAAGCGGAGAATCGTACATTACACATCCTATGATGCCCGAAAACTTACCAATGCGGCGTTTCTCATGGGATCATACCAAGTATGAAGCAGCTTTCAGTCTCACCAAATCGGTGTCAGGTTATTTGCCTCAACAGGACACCTGAAGAGTCCTATCGAAATCTGTGCACAAATGATTCAATTCCCTTCCTTCCATTTCGGTGAGCATAGTTTAGTTGTGTCATAAAATCACCTTTCTTGAATTAGCTTTACGATACTCTCATGTGAAGTTGGTTCAGTAAGAGATTTCTGTAATAAACGAATGAGAAATCTGACAGAAACCCTTTATCCTTATCCTTCGTTGGTTGTGATTAGTATGATGATCAGTTCAATGCTCGCCATTTTTGCAGAATACATGGCAAGATTGGTACTCCACCTATCATACTTGGCGTGGTTGGCTCAGATTTGTCCGAAGGTTTTAAGGAACATATTGGAGCATTAAAGCCTTATTCAAGGGTCATATTCTTCATCACTGAACACAAAATCTCATACATATCTTCCTGAAGGATTGTACTTGTTAGATGCCATCATTTTGAGGAAGACACACTTCAAAGCTGTTTGATGTAGGCGTCCCATACTGCCAGTTTCACTGAATGAATGACCAGTGTCGCCAATAGATGTACTGTTGGAAACACCCCAGAATGTACCCTTACACTTAGTGCTTCACTGGTATCAGTGATGTTACTTTCACTTACATCAAAGGTTTTCGACCTTTTCTGGGAAATTGAGCCCGTGGTTTTGAGCTGAGATAGTATATACGAAGAGGGCACTTCTCAGTCTCTGTGACCGAACACTTTCACTCTTCTTGAGAGCCCAACTTGAGGGACGGTGCGGTATTTTTCAATAGTTGGTTGATCCTAATAAGTTGGTTCTTGCTGTGCGAGTTACCCACCATCCGATCATCGTTTGCTCATCCGGTACGAACTGCATTTGTGCTGGTCTTTTGTGAGTTGAAGAATTTTTCTCGCCTTCGAGGAAGACGTTATCTGTGGAGTATCCTTAGAGTCAGTCATAGGGACACTTTTGTGTTTGAATTATACTCAAGTATACACTGTATATAGTTCCAATGCCCTATTTTTTGCACCATCTAAAAGCCGTGCGCATGTTTATAAACGCAACCGCCTGATCACAAATCTTTCCACTGGCTCTTATCATAGTGGAGTTGACAGGAATGTGGTTCCATTCTTTGCATATACTTGAAGCATTGGGAAGCAGGCCAACAGTATCCTATGTTGCTGCGAATGTTTACGCTTTCAGGCAACCATGCCACTGATCACCTTTGGCCAAGCAGACTAAGGACGAAATCGTCTCATAAAACTGCAAAACAACTGGATGGTATTTCCTTTCTAGAACGAATTGTCAATCATAGAGAAAAGTGAACCACCCTATCATCACAGTGAGATTAAGTACCGTCACCCGTGTCGGGGGAAAACTGCCCAAGCCATAAACAATGGGTCGTCCCTGAAATCACAGAGAACGGTGCAAAGGCATTCAGGGTATTATGTATCACCAATTTGGTTACTTGTATACTTCTGTATGTTCTATACTAGTGGTTATTCATATTCCTACGATTTCGTCTTAAACCTCAAAATCAACAGTTGATCTCATTCTTCTGTCATTACGTTTAGACTTCTAATCATGGGCTCCCTAGCTATCAACCAACAACACTGTGCGACACGTGCTTTTCTCAATGATGATGGTGATAATGATACTTTGGAGACATTGATGAGCGTTTGACAGGTGACAGCGTTTGCTGTTTGGTAGGGATTTTGTCGGTAAACGTTAGAGACGCATGCAGGTGAATCTAGGCAGCCTAAGTTAGCACACGGTTGAAAACTGGTGCAAATTACGTGAGATCATTTCATCTCGAAGGCCGCTGCAAGTGTACGTGTTCAAAGTGCCTGTGTATTCCACTGCATGCTTGAATCCATTCTTGTTGAGAGGTGATGCCGGTCTGTGTGCTGCGTTGAGCATTAGTGAATCGCGAGGTAAAGAATAGGGAGAAATGCGTACGCAAAGGAATTTACCAGAGAATACGCACCGCACTGGGGTGTCTTGTGTAGTATAGTTATATCACCTGATCTTTGTAAGTTCAGCTTTTCTTGGTCAGGTAGACATGCTTAAAACGTGACCAAGTAAATCAGCACTGAAGGTAGCCCATCAAAATCTGCCTATGGCATCTCTATCAACCTGATAGTGTTTGCTAATGAAAACTGTTGAGCTAATGAGAAAGGTAAGACCGTACCACTGACGATGAAGCAGGCTTTCGGGAATTTTTCGCGCAATCATAATTGAGCATGGAAAGCATGTTGAAAGAGCCGGACACATAGCGACAGGGATCTGACTTAAAATTGGCTTTCACAGAACTGGAGTGGTTGTGTACATTTACCGTTCTCAGAAGGCAACCTTTTAACGTCCAATACGTTTCCAAAAGAAGTGATCCTCGGGCACTCAAAGTCGTCTATTGTAAAGTAACCTCCAACAAACAGAAACCTCGAACGATTCAAATATGGTGGTCACCTGAATGGTTGGTGTGAGTGTAGTACTGTTCTTTTGTCTAAAGAGGTGGAGATTGGTTCCATAGCTTAGTTCCTTTGACGAACATCCTTTGGAGAGGGATGCTTATCAGTGAGGATGCCACTTGCCCTGATGCATGAGCTTAGTGTGACCTGGTGCTGCTTCAGGTGTCTGAAACTATATTTCCTGCTGGATGCATTCGCTTGGTGGTCTCGTTTGTAGGAGTAGGCATAGCTACATGAACGCCGAAAATTTTACTGACAACAGATATATGAGCGAAGTTTGGCAGATATGGATAGATTTCGTGGTAAGGGGATGACAAGGAGACGAGCTGACGAATACACGGAGCGCCAGAGGGTGGGTGGGCGAGATGGATCAAGTTGTTAGAGCGCGGATTTACTGACCGGATGGTCGGTCCGTCGAAACCGACCTCTGTCTCTCGGCTTCCCCTGTCTAGGCTTGGGCAACCTGGCACTATCCTAGCCCTCGTGCTCCCTTTGGGTGGCATGGCAGCTAGGCACCGAAAGGATGTTACAGCTGAATGTTTGTCTTATTATTATCTTCTATCTATCTGATGGGTCCTGAGAAGGGAGAGACCAGTCGTGAACAGTTTTCGCCAGCCTTATGGGTACATCTAAATACCCTAAACCTTCACCCTCTGTCTGTGTATTTGAAGCATTTTGATAATAACCCGCCCGGTGGCAAGACTATTTTTTCTTGCTAGGAGACCACTGTGTCTATAGTTAGAAATTGGGATTACTCCGTTCCTTCCTCCTGTGTATTTTGCATTGTAAGATTATGTCTGTGCGTGTAGTGAGTTCAGGTTTGATTGTGAGGTTATTGCTGTAGTGCTGGTATGTGAGCGCATCCTACGAATCCTTCCTGAGAAACAGTTTATAGTGCACGACGCCTTGTAGTGGTACAAGACAGTTGGGCGTATGCTGGCTGTTCACAGGTTGGTCTGCCGTTATCCATTCATGATTTATGCAGCCTTAGCTGGAAAAGGGTAAATGGGCAGCACCAGGTGATGCCGAGCATATGAGTATTCTTTGAAGTCAGCTGTTTAGAAAATAGGCGCCACTTTGGGCTCGATCTTATCTTCTGTTTTCAAATTGACTTCCAACTTCCAACTCGTGAGCCGCATATCTCAAATGATTCCCAGTAGACGTGAGATCGTTATACAGTGGTGGCTTTTCTAGCACTCCATTGTGAGATCTGTGAAAAAATCTCACAAAAGGCCTGATCACTTGCATGGTTTTGGAGTAGCTAGACCCCTACGCCACAGGTGTTTACTGAGCCTTTCCAACGTTTAACTGGGTAAACTGCGCTCAGAGCCCGACGACCGTCGGCCCGAATCTTTATTTCTCTGGTTATTTTCATTCTACCATAACCTGCAATTCGTTTGCCTCTCTTGAAATTGTGCGGTAATTGACTGAGGTGCAAACTGTCAGTGTTGCTATTTTCAATCTGTCAAATTCGATGTGTGTGGCTTTGAAACGTCTTTATGCACTCCTATCACGAGGCTGGTCAGTCCGTTAGGAAACTATGGCTTGAGAGCTTGTATGTGCTTCGACAGATGTCTTTCTACCTCTTACAGTAGCCATCAGGTCATTCTGTTTTGTGTTCCAGTTTATGGTTTGAGTCCAGGAATGGGGCTGATTACGACTAATGACATATGGCAACATGCTGTCTCCAAGCTTTCGTCACGGGGGAGAGAAGTGACAAGAAAGAGAACAATAGGCTCGGTCCCGAACAAGTTTATGTGCTAAAAGTTAATCGTTTCCCAGGATAGATGTTCCAAGGAGAGGCTTAGTGGCTCTGGTTGAAAAGTGCATCTTGTACTTTGGCAGCTCTAGTGAGATGACAATAACGGCTATACAGTCGAAAACCGTTGATTTGGCCATTAATGCAAAGGCGCACTTTTAGGACGGGGCTTCCAAATTGTATCCATTAGCGATCGGAGTCATCCAGTTGACGAACGAACAACATGGTAAACCTATTGTGCACAAAAATGTAGAAGAGTATAATGAAGGTTATTTATATCATGGGGCACCATAATTATCATGCACATTTTATGGTAGAAAGCTTGAAGTAAACCGTATCAGACAAACTTTTCGGTTCGATGGCCTTGGTATCTTTAACAGCAGGTGCCTTTGGAAAATGCATCTTTCAAGCTTATGTTGCGTAGTAAGTAGCGCCTTATCGAAACAGGATGTCGATGAAAGGCTATATGCGTTGAGTATGAACCTTGAGTTAGGTAGGTCCCCTTGTGCTTAGGTGAAACCTCCGCCGAGTGTATTTTTCCAACTGTGGGAAAGTAGCGTAGGAATCAAAGAGGAACTGGATCACTTTGCAGGAATTTTAATCGAAGGTCGGCTTTAGTGAACTCAGCCACCCGAGCGAATTCATGCGCTGGAAGTTTTTCAATTTATCATTTGGGGCGAGTTAGCCCAAGTGGTTATAGCGCGAATTTACTGACCGGAAGGTCCGTGGTTCGAACCCAACCTCTGGCTCTCGGCATCCCCTGCCTAGGCTCGAGCACTATCCCAGCCCTCGTGTCTCCCTCGTGTGGTATGGCAGCTAGACACCGAAAAATGCTACATCTGAACGATTTTTTCTATTTCCTGACTGTTTTGCGCAATTTGGCAAGAGTCACTCGCAGTTTAAAACTGATTGGGCAGAACAATTAACGACACAAACATCAAGCCTTTTCTTTATTCCTTGTTCTCCACTACAACAGTACTCAGTTTCATATCAAGTAACTTTTGTAAAACTACGTGTTGGTGCATTTTGCTTCCTTTTACTTACCGTTGAACGCAGCTTTTCGGAAGTTTCACATTAGGTCCGGGATAAAGAGTATGCTCTTAAAGAAGGGGTGCTTCTAAGAGAACCTCATTTCTGGTCTATTTCTAAGGTGCAAGCTATCCGGCACCTTGTTGTATCACATGTCGGCATATTCCAACAATGCGAAGAACTGGTTCTATTGCAGAATCGTGGATGTTCACGGGCATTACGCCTGCATCTTGCATGTGCAAAACTTACCGGTTTCCGTAGTCACACGACCGAGGTTTGGAAACTCGTACAATTTACCCTTGTTCATGAATATCAACCAATCAATTCAATTTATCAGCTATAAACCGTTTACCGTAGGAACATTGGTTCCGGCTGCTACAAATTCGATCACCGCAAAGTGACTAACTCTTACACTTTCATGAATACAACCAGTCAATTCAATTTATCAGCTATAAACCGTTTACCGTAGACACATTGGCTGCAAGTCTACTTCCAAGACATACCAACCGGCACTATCCCTCCATATAATTGCGAGAGAGAGCTGGGCACCCCCGTTTAGCATAAACTCGATTAACGGTGTGATAATCAGGATTTCGATCAGCTACGAACTCAAACTTTAAGTTTAGGGAGTCGAGGAGTTTACTTATGCGTGGAACCATCTACCACGTGAATTACCGAATTTCAGGCAGGTTCACGATATCCACTGAACCGTTCAGTTTACACCGCCGGGGGCAAACTAACTATTCTTTCATGTCAACTGACTTGCGCTTGAATGCTTGTCGTGCACACTTTTACCAACGACCGTCAGTAGGTGCTTATCAGGCCTCTGTGAACGCTTTTAGACAGATTCATTCAACAGGCGAGAACTGCCGAGACAATTGCCATATGAATGACGCCGCTTATCCTTTGGTTACTTAAAGGTGACCAGCTGGGAGTTTCACCCGTATGTATGTCTCATCCGTGCTTTGATCGTTCTTTGAAGCGCACAGACAGCCTGTCAGAATGCACCTTCTTCGGAGGTTCGTAAAACATTCCTCACATGCCCGTCAAACCAGTCCGATTTTCAGTTATTTCGAGCGGTCCACCACCTAGGTCAGAGTTCAATTACGTTGACCTTGTTTCAGGTCTCACTTTCCTTAGCCACTCACCGTCAGTGGATCACAAAAGTGCATTTTGAAATAAATTTAACACAACGGTCACTTCGCACGAACCCGACATATGCCTATAATAAATCGGTGAAATACATGGATTTGTAAGCTGTGTGCTAACAAGATGCTCGTCTGAATCGTAGATGAATCTCTTGTTATAATACCATTGGAAAAGTTTTCAGAAACCCTAAAGGCAATGTAATATGTCAAGAAAATGTCCCTTAAGTGTTTCTCGTGGCGTGCGACACGCTAATTCACTCCAAGGAAATCAATGACATCGGTCATTATCTGTCGTTCTTAATGTCTCTGATTTCAGCAGGCAGAAGAAATGAAATGCTTTACTCCCTTATAATGTCATTGGATGATTTCAGTGATAAGTTGTAAGACCATTCCGATCTCATCTATTATCGTTTATTTTTGAACATCTAGGTCACAAATATGAAAAGTAAATGCAAGCGATGGATGTGGAAGGGTTACAGAAAAATATTAGATAAAAAGAGAGAAGCGTTCCATTCGAAGTCGTGCTTCCAAGACTTCCAGTCAGCCAAAATGAATACAAACATATTTAGGAATGTTTGTTATGGCAATACGCGTGTGAAGACCAATAACTGAAGAAAGGACAAGCAATGCTAAATGCCTTTCAAGGCACGGTAAGCGCTAGTCCAGTGAAGACTCGCACATCAGGCACAAAGTTTCCGTCATACTGGACCTGGTGTGGGAATCAGTGGCAAGAATATACACTCAACGCCATGCAACACGATTAAAATTGCCGTAAGTACGCAGAGAGCCCACAATGGCATGCAACGCAAGTCACAGACTGTGACCTTGGGAAGTCCCTATCCAGTAACAGCCTTAGATGATCCCTCGATAAGAAATAATCATCGGTCGGTGAACCGAAAATTCGATATCACATTCGATTGCACGTAGGGCTGAAATTATGGCGCATCTTCGTATCTCAAAGTATATACAAACAAATCTCGGCGTACCTACAATGAACTGCGCATTTTTTCACTTCTGCCTCAGAGATGCGTCGTTTGTTCCGTCCAATTATCAGCTTACCCTACTGGATTGCCTTCACGCCGTCAGCAAGGTAAGTTAACGAAGTTCTGGTATAAACAACCTCCATCCACTTGTTCGGGGTAGCTCTTCTTAACACCTCTTTTAAAACCTCACACTTGGACTGCATGTTGATGTCGTCACACTCGCTGGTTAATACAGGTGGACACAACCGCACTCACCACTTGTGAGTTTCCCGAATGTTCATATTCGTAAGGTGGCGCTTCAAGCATTACCTTGGGTATTACTGTCAATAGGTCAAGTCGTAAGTGAAGCCTACAGTCCGAAAACTGTGTCAAAATTCAAGGCACTCTGTTTGCGTCCGTTCTTCGCCGTATTTTTCTTCCAGTTCCTGCCGAACACCTCAGTGATAACAGTGGGTATAAGCTGTATGTAGGACATGTTACTTTGTTCAAAGTGAAACACTTGTACTACGGGTAGTCAAAACCACAAAGTTGGTCATTATCCCATAATACATCTTATCCTGATGAGAATCTCTCAAGGATCGCCAAGATACTTTTCTTTGGACGTGTTGTGTACTTTCGTTATAAAAGGTACGTCGGTCAAAATTAAAGATGTATCTCATCGTGCTATGATTTCATGTTGGTTAGGACCGGGCATAATTGTGACCTTCCGGACTGCTGCAGAAGAGGAATATTTTTGAAAATCATGATCTTCGCGATTTCCATTGCATGGCAGCACTTATATTGGACGCTCGGGGCGAACTTTACTCTAGATAAACTGTGTGGACGATACTGAAATCAACTGCTGCATTTCAGAAATGGAGGTTTTTGTTTGCATGTGTACGAAGCATATCAATATTAGGTGAGATTGTAGGATGACAAAGGAGTTTCCGATGTTCCTTTGAGGGTTTTTGTTTCAGTATTGAAACCAGCGTGAAGTTATTTTGTTTCACCTGATTGTTGACTCGCTGAGTAGTTTCGTCCATGAAGGTGCTTGAATTTCCACATCATTCGATGATCAGTAGTGGTCGGTATCGGAAGTTTTGCAAATTCACATCACAGCAAACTTTACACTTGCATCCCTTTATTCTCGGACAATTGTCACTGGATGCCCAGATATTCATTTCAGTAAACTTGGTTCGTTTCTTCAAGATCGACGCGTGGTCCTAGTGATGGTTGAAACAGGTGTGCCGTATTGTTTGACCAGTTGTTTATTTCTTGTAATTCTGCTTGCGTTTATAGAATTTCCATGGAATAATTGGTGGGACCTATCACCTGTTTGTGTGATTTTGTCATCCAGAGATGCTGTAGCAAGACCCCTAAGGGTGGCAACTGGTGACCATTCTTCAAGAGTCGGCCGTATCGAATCAATCGATACCGATAATTTGAGTGGGTCTCCGATTCACAACATCCGTCGTACACAGGTACATAATATGCTACTGGAATAATCAAGTGGCGTTGATTTTGACTGTGTGTATCTGTCTTTCCCTCAAATAACTGTCACTTCTACATGGGTTTTACAAACTGATAGAATCGTCAACAGCGTGCGGTGTCAACAATACGAGATTCGTTTAGGTATTATATTAAATGGGATAAACGGTCCGATATTTTCCTTTAGTCCCGGGGATAGGCGCTTCATTACTTGAGACTTCTTTCTCTTGACATGGTTTGTTCCCTGGTTTAGTTACAAACGTTTCATCACCAATCGGATATCCATTAGTGCGTCCCTAAGGAGCGTAGCGCAGCGGTGCTCCTCATTTGAAATGGCCAACGACGTATGCGTCCGTAATTTTTATTCACTGTATCCTGTTTTCTTAAGTTGCATGACACTGATCGTTAAAGCATTCCGTGGAAATGCGGCAATGCAAAGGTTCTGACTTTCCGTGTGAATAGGCCACTCTCTAACAGTTTGAAAAACCCCAATGGTTACATTTAGTTCCGGTTTTAAGCAGTGTGAAGCAGACATTCTTCCCTAGTCCTTAGGCACTTCGCTTTTTTCATGACACATTTTCATGATAAAATCACGCAAAGTGCGAAATTCACAAGACAAGTATTTTTGGTGGTCCCTGTCTGTCATCATGGTGAGTTTGTGAGATGGGTTCAGACGAGTTTGACCAGCTTCTACAGGCGTTTCACTTCTATCATTTACTCGTTCACTTCTTCCTCTTTCTCCACCTTGGCCTACAATACGTTTTATCTTCATGTTTTAGGCCGTGGAACACAAGTTCTTGGATTTGTCGACGTTCAATCTTGCGGAATACGAATACTATGAGGTGACTTGGTCTTTCAATGACTAACGCAACATTTTTTCAACTATTTCTAGCAAGTGGAAAACGGTGACCTAAACTGGATAGTGCCAGGAAAATTTATTGCATTCTGTGGACCTCACGCACAGAGCAAAATAGAAAATGGTGAGTTGCCTCAATGTAACGACTGGGGCCACTAATGATTCATGTGTATTTCTTGTGAATGAAGGCCTATTTCTGTTACTAATTTTGCTCTGAGTCTACCGTAACATAATTAGCACTGAATAATCAGATTTTACATGCAGCTGATCATTCTTCCACGAGAACTTTTTCACATATGAGCCCAGTTAGTCAACACATGCTATGCTTGAACTCACAAAGTTGACGATTCCTGTCATCCGCAAAACTTGAATGACATTTCTTGCTTTCAGTAATGATGCAACTAACTGAGCGTTCATTTGTAGTCAAGCTGATAGACGGAGCTCGAGAAAGCTCAGTGTTTAAGACGCCAGCTTACGGACCGGAAGGTCCGTGGTTCGAATCCAACATCAGCATCTCGACTTCCCCTGTCTAGGCTTGGACAACCTAGCAGTATCCCAGCCCTCGTTCCTCCTTCCGTCGGCATGACAGCTACACACCGAAATGATGATGGATGATTGGATGATGATGATTGGATGAACTAGAAAAACTCCGCCGGATTTTGTGTGATGAAGACAGCCTTTTGAAGGCAGGCATTTTAGCTTGACTGCCCTACTTCGTTGATGAGTGAACTGGGTTTGTGGTTAATCTCATGTGATATAAAACTGCAGCTATTTATTTATTCGGAGGCTCTTACATGACCCTCTGATTATTTATCTTTGTTCTCGACTGGTTTACCGAATTCGGCGCTTAGCTTGAAAACGTTTTATCATTGTTTGCAGAGTCCGCTTCATAGTGTTCAGTGGGCTTATGTAGATGTTTTCACAGTATCCATTATGCCTCTGATGGGAAAAAGAATGCTGATAGCCCAAGTTGTTCAGTCGGTGGTCAACCTGTCCGTTCAGCTTGATACTTCCGCTGCACAGCTCCTCTGAGCTTCACAACGCTGTTCATGTCTCAGCGATTGGTGGCGATACGTTTGCAGAAAGATTGCCAAGTTCGGGTAGCGATTCGATCATTTAAAATTCAGCATCTTCGACGTGATAGCGAAGTGGAATTACGGGTTTTTGTCGCATACCAGTCCATATTCACTTTGTTCAGGCAACGGGTCTTTGGCGAAGCACAGGGTATCGCACTCAAAGAATGCATTCAGTATGCAGGAAAAGGCCGTTGGACCATGTGTTATGCATGTTGAGTTACCGCCTGTCAAGAGAAGTGTTTTTTTCTTGCCTAATTTTGATTGGTGGAAACCTAGAGTTGGGTAGAATTTGACATGACTGATACAAATGAACGATGATATAGAAAGTTCTGGTGTTGTTATTGCTTTTGGCCTTCCATGATGGGGTCCCCATGGCCCTCCTTATGCTTGTTTAGTGATACTGAATGATACGGCGGCTCACCTGATGACAGTAGTATTCGGGTTGTCAGTTTTCACACCGACTGTCTGAGTGGACGTTGGAAGTGCAGGCACTTTTGTGGTCCCCATCCCTGTCCGATTTTTGTTCTTTTCATTATAAGGCTCTATTCAATTAAATCGACATAGTTTTACGGCAGCAAAGCAATAGTTTTCTCCTCTGGTGTTGCTGTCAACGATGGGAATGGCGATGCTTCTCGTTATGGCCTTCCTTGCGTATTCTTAGTTCATGAAAAATAATTTTCTGTTGCTTGTGTTGTTTGGTCTATTCAATAACTCTGATGTATTGTAAAGTAGACGTTCTCTGCTTTTGTCAATTGTTACCTTTCGTTCATAGGATATTCTCATTGGTCTACTGGCTACATCTTGTGTATTAGTGAGCTAATCGCTTGTGTTTGTACAACATAAAATTTCAAGCAAATAACATCACTCGTGCCTTTCATATACGAAGGCGTTCAGATACTGAAGATAGAGCATATGCTGTGCTAGTGAGGTGCATGCTTTGTTCATGTACAGCTTCCTTCGAATGCGCGTTTACTGGCACCGAGTAGAAATTCAGAGGTAGTTAAGCTCGGCCTAGCTCAAATAAAGTAATAGGAATATTCGAGGTGAAGCCGAATCACCGGTCAGGAGATAGCAGCTCAACTTTTCACTTTATACTTATTCAAGACCCTCGGTTGGACGGTCAATTATGGTTGAACTCGCCACCTTTCGCGGTTGACGGAGCATTTTGCAGGGCTGTTGTAGTCTCCACATTTCTACAGGTAGCCAACCAATTATTTTGAATTTATCAACTAGAAATAAATGGATCGCACTAATTGGTACTTCATTTTCTTCTCGGGGCGTTAATCCTTTGGTCATCAGTCCAACAATTCTCCACTCTACATGAACCAGATGTGTTCCCCATTATTTGATGAACAACATACATTCGTACTAACCACAGAACCTTAGTAGTTTTAATGTTGATGTAGTAATCCCACCCGTCCTCGAACGGCTAATTTTATGAATGTAGATACCGGCGCTCTAGTTTCTTGCATATACAGCAAACACCCGACATCCTGTAGGCTATCTGGCACACAATAACTGGCACTACTATTGTAAGTATCCTCTGTTTGATCTCCCGTTCATCCAGCCAAACCTGTTCGGCCTTGCGAAGGAAGGTCAACACATTTGCCCACTCTGTCAGTTTGTAACCATTTTGTTTTGCGTTGCATTCCTTTGCGTTTTTTGACGTCATTCCGGCAATGCTTTTCTTGTGCTTTAACTCTCAAATCTGCTACTCCAGACGACGACCATTCTTCATGTAGCCCGAGCTTACAATCAGATTTCGATAGAATCACTTATCATTAGGGAGACCACCTCCGCTAGTTCACTGATTAAAGCTGCTTTTGCGCTGCAGTTCAATCCCTAATTTCGTTCCTCGTACCCCTGTGTTCCTATCTATCTTCAAACTGCAGGCATAGTCGCACTCATATCTGTGTGTTGTCTTTCTTCAAGAGAGCTACACAATTTGTAAAGTTGATCAACTGCAAATTTTCACATATTCCCCTTTTTTCGGATCAGCCGATAGCCTCAACTCGTTCTGCGATTGATTGGCGATCCCATGGATTGGTTGTCGGTGAATTGAGCAGGCACCCTCTATCATTAAGGACAATGGTGTTTACCTGAGAGTGTCGCCAGTTGTTCACAAATCTCTCCAGATTTTGTGATAGATCGATTCTACTCAAGTTGATTTCATGACTAGTATTGGCTGCACACATTTGTGTGCCGAATTTCCTCATCGTGCTAAGATGCCTACAAAATTGAACAAAGAACGATGATTCTGACAGCCTCCTGTGTTCTATAATCGGTAATCAGTTTCATTGCCTGGTGCGATGTACGCGGCCCTTTTCTGTGAACCTCATTCTATGAGCGCATTTGCAGTTAAAGCCCTTGGGAAATACCGAACGTTTAGGCACGAAGCACTCACGTTCCTGAGATAATTTGTTTTATAATTTGCAGCAGAACTGAGGTGAACATCTGAAAACCCATCAGTGAGACTGCACTTTTGGTGCACGCCTGATCATTTGCTGTGATTTGAATATTTCAGCTTTCTGTTCATCTCGATCCGAAGGCGGTACGATTTCACTCCTGCACTAGACCGTCACGTGGCGAAATGCTAGGTTATCAGTGAACCATATGGCGAAAGAGTTTCAGTTGCGATTCCGTATCGGAAAGTCATTTGAACCAAAACGTGTCTCAGCTGATATCGCCTGCACTTTTTGCTACTGTTTGTCCACGTGTTCCACTCCCACTGCACTTTTAGCGACCGGTCTTTTTATTTGAGCTCCTAACTGGACGTAACAATTTTGATTAACTGTCACTAGATGGATTTCCAGCTACATCCATTTGTGATTAGGCCTGTGATCAGGTTACATTTAAGTGATTGTGCACTAATTAAGTACATTTTGAACATGTGGACTTGGCAGCAACTAATGACGCCAGAACACAAGGGACCGCCGCCTCCTTACTTGGTCGGCTGTTGAAGTGGTAAACTCTCTGGAGCGCGAGATACCTCAGTGGTAAAGGCGCGAAACCGCTGACCGGATGGTTTGCGTTTCGAACCCAACCCTGGCTACCCAATTGCTTCTATCTTGACTAGGACAATCTGGCGGTATTGCGGACCTCGTTCTTTCTTAGAGTTGTGCCGCAGCTGGGCATTTAATGGGCGCCGCATCTGAACGAATGATTGATTCCTGTGGCAGTTCATAAAGGGAAGACCTCGTGGCCACGCAGTGAACCGACTGAAATCAGACTAATAGGTGATAACAAAACTTTCCTTATTATTTATTCTAAATCGTTCATGTTTATTTACGACGGCAATCATCAGCCCATAGCACCAATAGTTCAGCAACCTTCAGGGCGTGATTGGGTTGCCAAAGGTCACTTTAGTTTATTGTTCAGAACGCCAACGGAAACGGATCAGGCCAAATCAGATGCACCAGTTTATTCGGAAAATCGTCCTCAAGACATTTTCGCCCAAGTCGAAGACTTGCTTGGGCTTTGGGTGGTTCAGAAGCGTAAACACGGCCGGTTATCCATTCCGCAGAGTATACTGGGTGTACATAAGCTTCACTGCTGGATGGATTTCAGAAAAATCACCTGGTGATATTCTTCCAGAATAGTGTCTTTAGACGTGCCCTTGACAGGGTTAGTGCCGCAATTTAGAGTTTCTGCAGAAGTACTGTCTCCTAACAATTCTTTCGTTTGTAAATGTTATGTACTGCCACGGGACAATTTCTACCGCAACGACGGGCGAAACTTACGACGTCTGAAGCTGTATGAGAGTCGTTTGTGTGGTAACTAACCACAGAACTAGGCTGATTCGGATGAGATCTGAGATGCGTTGACCGAATAGACCTATAGTTCGTTTGCGAGGAGAGCTATTACAATCTAAAATTTACGTGACAGAAAAAATTACAGACGCTCCTTCTTGTTAAGTTAACTTGCGATGAGCGCTGGTTTCGCGTTTGCTTTTTTGCATCAGACACCACCGTCAAATACCATAGCAACTCACGTTAGGTTCATTCTTCTGCTATCTTTCATTTCTGCCATGTAGTCCGTCCTCATATTTTAAGGTTTTGTTTTGAGGTTGAGTTGGGCGGGGGGGTTGACAACCAACTGAATGATCAGTAGTTGGCTACCCCAAACCATCGATTTGCCTCTTGATTTGAAATCACCGTGTTTTTAGGCCTGATAAACGAAAGTCATCGACGACTTGTACAATTCTGTTTTATCAGAGTACTCCATTAAGAAGACAGCCATATTGCCATAGGACACAAACTGGATGATTAATATACTTAAATGAAACTGTGAAAGACAGATATGTGGATTTGAACCAAGCCCATTGATCTAGTTGTCCGTTGGAAACTTTGGAGTAGCTGGTTTCAAACGTGTGCAAGTTAGTGCATAAAAGTTCGTCACCTATATATTAGATTTGTATCAAGCTGCCAGTCGAATAAGGATATTTCATTCGATGTACTTCAACATTACTTATCCGGTGTTCCGGTGTTTCCCAGACTCGGGAAATGCTCCGAAAACATCTATGTTCAAACAGTGAAAGTCTTTTAACGTCCTCGGCGCACAGTGACCAGCTTTCTGACCTGTATAATAATATGGAGCACACCGCAGCACTCGACCCATAACCGATGAGCTGATGTCACACCTGCGCCACAGGTGATACGGGTGCACGAAATCTATGCTTCCCAAGCACTCTTCGAAATCTGTGATTCGCCGATGTTGTACGCGGGTTACTATTCCCTTGGATACAGTTAACGGTTTACTTGGTACGGTTAGGGGAAAATATCGCATCACGTTTTGTGAAACCTGTTGACTGAACCGTTTGGAGATTCCTTCTTCTTGTCTCTTGATCTGTACCCAGCATCGATCTTTCGCATTTGTCCGCGACTGTGTAAACTCACCTTGCGCTGTTGTTAGGCATAGGTTAATGTGAAGACCTGGAATAGATTTAGAGACAGATGCCCAGTTATGTACTAAGAATGACTCGCCTTCGTTAGTAAGTTATCCCCTGCTTTTTTTCAAAGAAGTGGCGATAGGCCAACATTAGGATTTGGTATACCTCTGTATTATATATATCACTAACAAATAAATAAGAATGACATTTCCATTACACAACATACGTGTCTGTCCAGTGTTTGCGTCTGGGTTGTGAAATCATGTAGCTTCAAGTCGGCTGTTTTGTGGTTAGATTGCCGCACTCCACCATATTATTTCCATAGTCTCGAAGATTATTCTGAAGTAGTAGTTCATTATCCGCTTCCGTATCAACTTCACTGGATTCCTGCCGTATCCGTAAATAAACAGTCGTCACTGCATCGGAGCTTCGAGGGCTTAGGTGATCGTTTGTTCGAGCATTACCGAAACTAACCAATACATGTCTGCACTGCTATGACTCATCAGGTCAGGTGCATTTGTAGCCTGGGTTGTGCAGAAATCCATGGTGAATCTGACTGACGACATTGGTTAAGGATCCAATTTTTTTCCTGTATCCTGTTCAACTGACCGGTCCGAATTCAACCAAAATCAAATCATCAAATCTATTCCAACAGGGTAGGTAAAACGTGCACGTACCAACTGGTGACATCATCGCCCGTAATAAGGTAATAAGGTGTGTATGTGTACTGAGAAGAGGTAGTGCTGAACTACTTCATCTCTGTTTACCTTTACAACGCGGCATCAGATTGGTCGAAGAGAATGCACACATTCCAGCCGGTATTGTGTTGCGAGTGTGAATCGGCTGATTTGTGTCAGTGCTCATTTGCAGTTATTGGCCGAAACCACAATGCGTCTACCGAAGTAGTGGCAGATGAAAGTCACTGCGATGAATAACATAAGCGTTATTTCTATAGCATAACACGACCATGCACTCTGAATCATGCGGTCTGTGGCGGAATAAACCGGATTTGGGTGATGAATGACGCCTGACCAGTGAGTGATGACGTAACGAAGTTAACGATAGAAAACCGTTCGTTCAAGCACCTCGGTGGCCAGATGTGAAGTGATCTTGATAACAAGGGGCGGCATGACGAGTGATTACTGACTGCCCCTTCATACTTGGTTTACAAAATAACCAATTTTCAACATTTTCTAATATGTTTTTTGGTCTGCCAAGTGGATGACTTAGATCTCTGAGAAACACCTTGGTCTCAACGCTTAATCACGCTTATTCGCATTCTTTTTGCTACATTTGCACCATTCACAGTGTTTAAAGCGTTCTTGTTTAGCTCAACAAACTTTCGGTAACATCCATCCGGTGGCTTGTAACTTTGTTTTTCAAAGTGCAGAGCTTCGACTAAGACGAAGACTGACGTATAAAATAGCGGAAAATGAAATGCTACGGACATAGGCGCTGATTGTTTGATTGCTCATGAGAACTGCTGAAAACATCAGATGTTTTTTTGGATTTGGATATCAGATTACATTTCATGTTTCAGACAAAGCAAAGGGAGCCCAAATTCTAATCCGTCTGAGTAGAGCAGAGCAAATCGTATGGGCTTATATTGATTGCCCACTACTCTAGAATGATTCATTGAAAGATTCTGGATCACGTCTTTCGTTTGACTTGGCCACGAGCATTTCGCTTATGCACTCTTCCACTTCCTGGGGTTAACGTAATTGTGGATTGTTTGATCTGCAGTAGTGTCGCTTCCTGCTACACTAGTCACTGAATGTATGGCTGGTCGGTTTGCTGTTATGTGGTGTAGCTTTCCGCCCTAAGTGTATTTCAGGGCGTCGTGAAAGAACTCTGTCCCCATTTAACAGATGCGATTTCCAAACGGGTTTGGTAATCCGATAGAAAAAAATTGTGACACGCTACATATGTGTACTGAGAGTTTTCGATGAACAGAGTGACCCACGTTCATATCAAAGTATATTCTATCCACAAAAGCCATTTTAACCTATAGGAGCCATGCTGATCTTCTGATCCTCACTCCCCCACCGTTCAAACATTCCGGTGCGAAACGAACGTAGTAATCGCTCTTCACTCTGCAGCGTTTGTTCTTTCAACAGTAATGTCAACTCATTCAACCACCTCCGATCAGCTCACCATCCGTACTGTTCTTGACAAAGACCAGAATATCACTTGCCCTTAAGTTTCAGCCTATTGTTTTCATCATAGCTTTCGTTTCAAGCGTGAGACTTTTGCTTACCCCAATTCCTTTCTCTCTCTCGCTGTCGACCAAACCTGGCACTCGCATATCAGGTTTTCAATTGATACATTTTAAATGCAGTCTCCTAAAAGTGAACTCATTTTTGTTGTGCTCATTAGTCGTCAGTGTGAATGATTCATCTCCTTCCACTGAATACGAATTGCGAAGCCATTCTCAGTGAGAAGCCACTATTGAGGTGTGTAGTGTATGCTATTTCAATGTGTACAACACCACTTGGCATGCCCATTCGACGCATGCCGACTCAGAAAGCCCTGAGGAAGCGTTTTTCGCAATCCACACATCTTTTCTCCAGTCTGACTTTTTTCACTGTGAATTCGTAACTCCGATGGCTGCCCTCCGCGGACGCTACCCATCCTGACTAGTCTTTTCGGGCTGCAAACATGGGCTGTACTGTAGGCGAACGTATCCATCTGTACAGGATAATACAAACACCTGTCGAAAGTCGCTGGCAGAAGACCGTTGTGTGGAAAGTCAGAATACTCCCTTCCCAGTCGCGCAGCAGAATTTCACGTTTTGAAGCTCCAAAGCGAAATCAAATTTAATTTCCATAGCATTGACTGAAGCCGAAGAAGGGCGTCGCGCAGCAGAATTTCACGTTTTGAAGCTCTAAAGCGAAATCAAATTTAATTTGACTGAAGCCGAAGAAGGGCAATCTCATCCCCATGTTCATTATCTTCAAGCATGTCACCCAGATGAGGCCTTACTCGCACTTATTTGGAGCCTTTTACATCATATCGTTAATCAAGAGGTTGAAAGATCAGATGTGTGCCAACTTTGAAGATGCTTCATTGATGCAGGGAATGTCATAGATTACTACTTCCCTCCATGAAGCAGGAAATAGTAAACTGGATGTACACGACATCTACTCAACACTCATTCACTGCTGTTGCTCTTTTCGTGTTACCCTGCGACATCGACTAGTTTGAACTGAAGGTATTTTCACCGCTCACAATGTTCCAGTGGTGCGATCACAATTTATGGTGCAGCACTTTCATCAACCATCCAGCCACTTATTCCCGAAGTCTGCAGAGTAAGTCATCCTTTGCCTCCGTGTGATCTGCTACCGCTACCGGTAGCCTTGGCAACCGTAGCACGACAACGACAAGGCTCGAGACTCAGCCCGGGGCTTGTGAAAACCATAGAAGTGCATTGGGGCCCATTGTTGCCCTCATTCCAAGCCAAGCCAAAACGATCATCATATCGGACATTGACTTATTCGTAGGTTGAGCGGGAGCGTTTAACGGAGCTGGGTGTACTTTTGAGATCGATTACCCAGGTCCACCAGGCTTCTGGTTTTGCTGTCCCCCTGCATCCACGATCATGAACGCTGATTACCTCAGTGACTTGACCACATGACCATTTTGATTATGCCCCGTCCGTCACGTGACACAGGTACAGAATGCCTGAACGTGTGCTTAAGCCCGCAAAACACGAGCATTTTGCTCTGTCGTGGAACACCTTACGGGTACGTGGCGTTGATCAAAACATGTATGATCGGTGCAAAATAAACGATCTCAGACAAAACTCAGTTTCATATGTTTGTGTGTGACACGTGATCGTGTGTGTGAATCCAATGATTGTGAGTGCGGCTTACAAGGGTATCCGAGCCAATAAACCTAAATGGGACGCTTCGGTAGTTCACGTAATCATGCTAGATCGTTTTTCGTCTGACAGATGCCCTCGTAGCCAAATTTAGGCCGTCTCGACTGAGTGACAACGCAGGCATCACGATAACGGGGTTCCGATTGAAGCGCCTACCCTGGTGCAGCACAGCTGAGCTTCCTCCGCATTGGTTTCACCAATTGTTCCGGCAATTTTCCGGTTTTTATTCTCACTCCGGTAGGTTCACCTAACTCTGTCCTTGTACCTAGACACATTCCAATGAGTAACGTAACCACCGTTCAGAAAAAGCTGCAGATTTTTGCGGAAACGAGTCCATGAAATACCGCACAGAGTTCCACAGCAAGTTATTTGGGTGTGTTCCATAACATAACTCGAAGAACGCCACTCGAGGAGCGTGACCACGTGATGTGGATCTCGTAACTGAAGGAGTGCCGCTGTATCGTGCCCAGGTGCAAGTTAATCACACTGCTGATCAGCCGCTTGTGGTCAAACGTTTCAGTTTTCAAACCACCAGCTCGAAGATCGCGGAGAGACAAATGAGATATCTGAGAAAAGATGTATCGGCATTTCTTAACGACTTTCTGGAACTATCACGCGGCTTTGATACGAGTGTTTTCGGTGTTGACGGGACCTCTACGTTCTAACCTATCCTCATACTAAGTGTTCTAAACATCGACGTGCGCAACGGCCACAAATGCATTCCGCTCTTTTTGTACGATGACATACTTGGCGAAAAGCTCCCACGAGTGGTGGTCGGAAATTATACCGAATTTTGCTGTTTTCGGGTATTGATCTCTCTCAATTGCCGGTGAAATCTTGCCACTTCTTGCTCCTTTGTCAGTGGCAGTCCTGACACTAAGCAACAGACTACACACCCTTCAAAAATCACGAGGCATAATTTTTCAGCCACCGTTAACCATCATGGAACAGCTCCCAATTTTCTCACGGATTTTTGCTCCTTCTCAGGTGATTGCTCCCTTACTAGGAAGCATCAACGCTTGTCTCCAGTCCACATGACTCTCGTGATGCTGTTTTTTGGAACATTTTGAATATTCCATATATATTGCAAATCTACCGTACGAATCAATCAGCTAGCGTGGGCACCAAACGTCACCACAGATATTCGACATCCTTTGCGATGCAGTGCTACTTGCGCAACAGCCATGATATGCTGTTTGGCCGGTCTGTCTGTCCGAACTGACTACATCATACATAAGGCAGTGAACTCACGTCACAATGGGACTGGATTTGTCATTGGTCCACATGGATCAGTTGGCCGACATACTAGTCTCGCCTTTGACTTGATCCTTGTTTAGATAATGGCGCACCTTGCTAGTCTGGATGAGCGCAACATCCCTTGTGTTACGGATGAACCCATTTGCTTTGTGTACCGAGTACGTGTTGTTTGGCCCTAGCCAGATGGAGGCGCTGCTAACCTCTAATGACGATAACCTGGTGGCATCGGGGACAGACACGCAAGCCACAGTCAATTTTGTTACCGTACAAATCACTAACAATATTTCGGTAACTCATTTGGCCGATTATTCTTCCTGTAAGGTTCATGGAAAACGTAGATCGTCGTATCTCTAGTTCCTCGTCACTTCTGGTATGATAATACCTGGTGGGGCAGTTCAGCTCCGTCTATCTTCACAACAGCACTGCGATTCTCTTTGCCCAGCCTGTCCATTCGAAGTCAGCGTGAAATACGAAGGATAGTGCGGTGTGACATACAGCCGTACACTGATAAAACTGAATTGATTGGCTGGAGTTTCGTTTTTTTGTTCAGATTGCTCATTAATAGCGCACGGATTATCTATTTTTGGATGGTGACGAAACGTCAAATGCCAAACTCGGCGAACAGGTCAACAGCTACTTGATCAATTACCAAATTGCTGTCCTTTTGGTTCCCACCGTCTACTGTTTTATCTAATGTCAACATGCATCTCCGCCACACAGTTGGTTTTTGCTGATATTTGAGTCTGCTCAGCGGATGCAAGAACCCCTCTTTCGGCGGAGGATAGGGGGTTCGACAACATGTATGCAGGCACATTCTGCTGACACGTGAGCATACTCATAGTTATTAATTGTTTGGGAGTGCACGTTGACCGTTGTGACTAATTTCACTAGACCCTGTGGTCTGTTTCTGTAAACATTCAAAGATACCGGATATTTAGTTCGCTTGGTCGAGAAGACAGGAAATGCTTCATATCTGTAGTCTTTCTCAAGGGGATATGTCTCTTGTGGAAAATGGAGCACTCCCTGCAGGTATATCCTTGTGTAGGTAGTACTGTATTTGCAAATGAAGAGATAGACATTTGAGAATGAAGTGAAAATGGGTAGTGGAATATTTGGAACCGAAATAGCGGTTATCTATCCGTGCACCAACTGACGATCGTAGCATGTCCTTTTTGGAATTTTAATAAATTTTATGCTACTCATGTCTCACTCTGGAAATCATATCTTTCTTTATTGTCTATCCTTCGTTTGTCCTTTTTTGTATGTTCCATTGGGTGGCTACTTATCAGGAGCTTGAGTGTGATTCTAAACAGTAGGCCCTGTCAGAATGTCTCCTTTTTTGTTCAACTGGCCATCGGAATTCGACTCAGATGAATCAACTGTGACAACGAACTAGAAGGAACTATTTGAAAAGCGCTTCCCCCACTAACAACAGTTGGTTAATGCAAATGGAAGGTCCGTCGAAATATATACCGAACTGTCCAGAGTTAGTGGGTAAGGTCCACGACATGAAGTTTTCTGATCAATCCCCTCAGGTCCCATTCTCTAACAATAATATCATAATTTACGCTCCCTTGAGGACTGGGGAATTCGGTAACCGACTGACAATGGCTGGCAAATGAGCTCACTTTGTAATGGTACCAAATCCATGACAAACTGTTTACATCTTACGTGAAGCCGTTCGCTGGGAACAGAGTGGGCGGATTGATTCTGATGTGTGTTCCACAGCCAGACCAAATCAGGAGAAAGCTGGTAATGTGTTGGAATATTGGTAGCTCGGGTGCATCAGTCGGTAATTGATCACGTGGCTGTTGATCTGTTCGCCGAGCATGGCAATTGATCTGTAAACGTTTGGTCACCATTCGAGGAGACATCTTCGGCGCGCACTGAAAATGTGGCGAATCTGTTTTCTGCGTTGTCATCATGCTAGGGCAAGGTGGTGGCTTTTGATAGACTGTTTTCCCGTGAGCCTTATTTCTTCATGTTTACTTAGGATTCAACGGCTCGCGCGTAGTCGTTTATCTTCACTCTTTTTGTACGCGAAAATCTTTTGTGTTATCACTTCTATGCGAAGGGCTTTCAGTGTTCCATCCCATAATGTTATGCCGACTAGCCATCCCTCTTCCAACATTGACGTGCAATTAGTTCATCCACGGGAAAATGGCGCCAACGGATCCGAAAATATCCACCACAGGATACCTTAAGCGGGCAAAATATTTCTATGAACGCAACAATAAAAATAGGATAGTAAGCATGTACCTTCCTCCCATAGATGAAGTTTTTTATTGTTATCCAAAATGGCCATGCCTTTCTATCACAATTAAGAATGAGGTTTCATTTTACCGTCTACCATCATCCAAGGAAGACTTTGAGGAAACAGTAGAAGCAGAAAATATGCTGTTGCTGAGGCACGGCAGACTAAACCGAAGAGCTCGACTAAACAGAAAAGGTCGCTAGTAGCCAGTCTAGTATTTACAATTAAATCATGTTCTCTTTGACTGGTAAAATTATACGTTCTTTGGACTTCACTAAGCCGGTTGAATGGACAAGGTTACGTAAAAATAGTATAACCGTCGAGCTGCAGCGCGGTTGCGGTGCATAGCTGCCATCGAACCCGAACGGAACACCGCTGAGATACTGCCAGCTTGTCCGAGCCTAGACAGAAGCAGTCGGGATACCAGGGTCGGGTTCAGACCACGCATCCTGTGCCTCATACCTTGTAC